GCTGGTTGGGATTCGGAACAGCGCCTCCTCAACCTAGCATTTTTTTCTTTTTTTGTTTTCTTTTTTCTTTTTTATTTTTATTTTTTGCATTTATTTAAAAAATCCCATCATGACCCTGGAAGCCTTTGGAACAGTTTTATCCTTGAAACACAGGACACATTTCTCCCAGTGCGCGGAATTCAAGTTTACGCGGTTCAGCTTAAGAAGTATGTTTCACGTTTCTTAGAGGACAACGGACCCAAGTAATCACTATGAGAAGGGAACAGCTGTCCCAGCTTCAATGGGATAATCCAACACCACCAACTACCTGCACAACAGCAAGACGGTCAACCCTTGTCTGTGGCCCAAATGGACAGTATGACAAGGAGAGAACCCCTATCTGACTTAACAGCAAACCAACCCCTTTACTCTCACCTCTACTGCTAGGGGTCAGGACCGATACTCATGAGGTTTAAGATCCCAGGGACCCGGTCCCCGGCCTTGGCTAAGAGTCATATCCTAACAGGGCAATCTCTGCCCAGGTGCACATTCCCAACAGCAGGCCCTTTCTGGCTCTCCACCCCACAGCATTTCTTGGAGCAGAGGAAGAGCCCAGAAGCTGTGTGGCTCACAGGCAAGAGCTGGAGTGAAACCCATGGGAGGCAGCAGGGAGCTAACTGAAAGCACGAGGACAAAAATGAACAGGGTAATACTGAGGTAAATGAACACTAAATCCATATGGAGGCTGTAAACGTCCTGTCGTCTCCTCTGTTGCCAAGAGCAGAAGATTGGGCTAGAGTGGTTAGAAGAGGGGCCTGCCTCTGTGGGAATACATCTGAGACACCTCAACTAAGGAGGCAAGCAAGGATGTCTTAATCCTTTTAAGTATGAAGTGCTGGCCACTGGCAAATGCAGCACTGGCTTAAAGGGACCTTCTGATTCAGGCACACCAAGAAGCAGGCTCCTCCTCCCCCAACTCAATGGCTTTTGATCACTCTGCTCAGGAGAGGTGCTCCCTTCAGCTAAATACTTTAAGCCCTTCTTGGATCTACCCTCATGAAAAAACTGTGGCTGGGGATGGAATTGACACTCCTTGCTGTGGTCAACTACAAAAAGAAAACCAGACAGTATCTTCCCTAGAAGCTTTCTTTAAAGGGATCTGGTAGAAATGGGCCATAGTCTAATGATTTTGGTGTTGAAATAAACTAAAAATGACCTGTTTGGCTGGCTGCTTCTTCCTAACAGCCACCAGCCAGACAGGGCCAATCCAACACCAACAGTTGGCTAGGAAAGCTGGTAATGGGTGATATATTCTTGCTTTTTGCATATGTCAGTCTAATTTAACAGGTGCTTTATTTCCAGAGAATCGTTAGCCCCCTTTTAGGAAAAAGGGGCAGAAACCCTAGACAAGAATCTGAAAAAGAGTTGGCAAAAACTCAGTATTTCCACAGAAGGCAGCTATGGAGGAGTTTTAGCCTCCAGCTCCCAGGGCCATTGGGTGTCAAGTCACTCTCGCACTCCAAAGCCTACCCCACCTGCCCTGCCCCCAAAGCTCTTGGATGCCAGTTCTCATTTCACCCACTCTCGCACTTAGGAACATTCTGGGGGTCAGTTTTTGGTTTCACTCAGTTCTCTCGCTTGGGGTAGTTTGGGGCAAATTCTGATCTTTTCTAATGTTTCTCCATTCTCCCTCCTCCCCCAGGGCAGTTTGATGTTGGTCCTTCTCAACACACACTGGTTACAAACACAGCAAACTTTAAATAAAGAAAAAAAACTCAGGATATGGCACCTAAACTCCAAAGTAAAACACTGGAAACCAAAGCACAAACTTGTCCTCTGTACGAAGCGAAATTCCCACAGAAGGCAGTAGCCGAGTCTTCAGGGCAAGCTGTGCCTGCGAGAGTGGCAGGGATCAGGGTCCAGGGCTGTCAACACACAGCCTTAGGGCTTCGAATCATAAAGGGTGCTCCTCCCCCACTTACCAGAAGACCCTCTCACTCCAGTCTCAGAGGGGAGCACGCTCAGTAGGGCTTGCTGTCATTCTTCGAACGTTTGAGCTGCACTTTAAGCCGCTTCATGCCAATCTGAAAGCCGTTCATGGACTGGATGGCAGCTTGAGCCGAAACAGGATTGTCGTAACTTACAAAACCTGTGTGTCCAAGCAGAAACCTAGGTGAGGGACATAATGAGGCAAGGAGAGTCTCTGTCTTCCTTATGTAAGAAATACCTTAGAAGCTTAGTCTCCAAGCCCAATTTTTTCTCTGCAGGGACAAGAATTCTTGAAATTATATCACAGAAAACAAATCAGGTTCCTAATAGTATTAACTGACATCTATATAGTACCTTACAGGTTTCTGGCCAAGCCATTTCCCGTATATTAGTTTATTTTCACCTTTGGAGTGACAGGGTGGGGAGAAATGATCATTCCCACTACATAAATGAAAAAAAAAAAACGAGGTTCAAAAAGAGGTAATGTAATCTGCCCAGGGCTGAGTTAACCCAAATCCAGACCTATCTCTTTCTGCTGTCGGCCTCTTCTCTTTCTCAGCGGTAAAAATACCTAAGCCTCCCGACACCAGAAGAGAAGCCAACGTACCAAAACACTTGCTCAGGTTTGTCTGCTTGTCTATAAAAACCTTGGCAGACACGACATTCCCAAAGGGCATAAACATCTGCAGCAGGTCCTGATCTCCAAACTCCTGGGGCAGGTGGTAGATGAACAGGTTGGCTCCTTCTGGACCTTCAAAATATCCATTGATTGAAAAAGTATCAGTGTCGAGCACACTTAACCTCCTGCACCATCTCTCATTTCCATCTGTGTTAAAATTCTCAGCATCCCAACAAACAGAAATTCATCTGGAGAACTAAACAGGTTCTCCAAATACAAAGCTGAGAACTGAAGGAACATCACTGAAACAGGTTCCTTCCCACTTTGCTGTTCACCATTCTGATGCTCTGTCTCTTTCAGGGAGGTTAGAATTCTACCCTATAGGAGGATGGTGTGCTGGGACAATAAAGTAGACAGATTTGCGTGTAGAACGATAAAACTAGAGGCTCACAGAGAACAACAGAAAAGGAGGTAGAAAGAGATTATAAGCAAAGCAGGTTTCAAAACTGTGCCTAGAAACTGTAAGGACAGCAAAGAGACTGGTAGTTGCCAGAGGCAGGAGGTGGAGGCAGGGAATGACTACAAAGAGACATGAGGGAATTTCTAGGGGTGATGGAAATGTTCTACGTCTACTGCGGTGGTTACATTATATGTGTTCATCAGAGCTCATAGAAATATATTTCTAAAAAGGATGAATTTTACCATATGTAAACTGTGCCTTAGTAAAAATAAATTACAGATCCCAAATGTGCCTATCATTAACACTAAGCTCAAAAATAGAATATGCTTTCCTCTTCAACCACTTATACGTATACTCAATGATTTCCTTACCACAGAAGAATTTACTACAACTGCAGTGCAGCCACCAGTCTCCAGCCACCCCCGTCTCCCTGCTGTGTAGTCAGACACATGTGGAACAGTGCTGCTTAAGGGCCTTTGCACTTGCTGTTCCTCTGCCCTCATTACTCTTCATCCTCTAGATACACACGTGGCTTGCTTCCTTACTTCCTCTGGATCTCTGCTTGGACGTCAACTTAGAGAGAACTTCTCTATATAAAATGCTATCTTTCTTGCACTCTATCCCTCTTTCCTGTCCATCACTTTAGAGCAACATTCGGAACACTGCATGCTTTTGTTTATTGTCTGTCTCCTTGGTTCTATCAGCTCCCCCACTACTGCATCCTAGGGCACATAAGTGTCTGATTCAGAGCAGATGAGGACATACTACACCAAGACTCCTTGCTGCTACAGGAAGAGAGGATACTTGTCTTTTCCCCACATTAGAGCTTAAACCTTGACAGCTCCTGGTTGTGAAAATCCAGTCACATATGAGCACAGAGGTGTCAGCAGGACCTTCTATGCATATAAACCAACTTCAGGCCTCTTTTTGTCTAGAAAGCCTCTCCTGAATTTAATACCATTCATGTCAAAGCACGTAATTCTCACTCCATCAACCCATAGGCCATAACTCTCACTTCTGTTTGTCCTCAATTAGGAAAAGCACAGATTAGAAAGTGAGGAAAAGCCAAATGATATAACTAAAAGGGACACCTAGACAGAGGACATCCTCTGACAGATTTATAATCCAGAAAGAAGGCTCCCTAGCAAAAACAGATTGCCACATGGTATCAGACAGAGTAAGATCAGTATGTTTCCTCACCTAAAAACTGCAGCCCATCCCGGGAGGGTACACAGAGCACACCCAGAAAACATTTCAGGAGCAGTTTCTCTGTCTACCCTGGACACTGCCAAAGAGAAGTGTTGGCCTGACCACCTAAATGGTTCTCCTGGCCTTTGCCCTGCCTTGCGGTGCTGGTGCAGAAGGAGCAGCCATTCCGTCCTTGACTCCAGTTCCCTTGGTGCTCACCTTCCTTCTGGCTGCCAGCAGCACCAATGCTCTGCTGTGTCAACAGGTTCTGGTTGTACAGAGTGGGGAGCGCCGCTGCAGCATACTGCTGGATCCCCGAGTAGGCCTGTGTGAGGGCCTCCATGGTGCTCCCGGTGCCGTTGGAAAGGCCACTGCTGCCCAGGCCACCATTTAAAGCAGCCATCCCTTGGTTGGGGAGGAAGAGCAGGATTAACAGATTGGAAAGACTCAACTGATGCCAAAGACAAACTCCAAATGTCCCCCTTCATCTACTTCTTAGCTTTTCCCTGAGAAGGAATAGCCATCTGACTGGTCAGATTTAGGACACTCAACAGGCCTTGTGGTTAACAGGGACATTAAAAAACGCCACACCCAGGTGCAGCTCTCGCCATTACCTTCTTTCAACCTGTGCAAGAAGTGATTGATACTACTTACACGTGGCCTGCCCCATTTTCTCTCTGGTTTTCTTGCAATTTTCTCACAAAGATCTGGAATGTGGTAAAAATAAGAGTCCCAGGACTGGGGATTTATAGGGGTGCATGTGGTCCATGACAAGATGTGGGCAAATCATATCAAAATAGCTAATATTTATTGAGCACGTACTATGAGCAATGTGCTCAGCACTTTACTTATGTTCTCATTTAACTTCCTAATAACCCTCAAAGCATTCTATTTCCACTTTGCAGACGAGAAAAACCTCAGAGGGTGGTCAAAACTTATAGCTAATTAAGGGGCAGAGGTGAGATTTAACTGAGGCCTGACTCAAAATCGCATGGTTATTTCTAACTTCAGGCCACTCCAGTATTTCTAATGGTACCCCTACAAGGGTTGTTTAAAATGTGCTATCTGCACAAAGAATGGCTTGATGGCATCCAGGGGCTGGCCCTCACCTGCCAAAGAGCTGACGTTGAGGCCCGCTGTTGCTCCAGCTAATGTTTGCAGGGCTCCAAGGGAGGCGATGGGGTTGACAGAGCTGCTGCTGCTAGAGCTCGGTGAGGACCCTGCTATCAGATATCCACCAGTTAAACTCAAGTCAACACTTGACATCTCATGTCAACAGGAACCAAAACTCACCAGTGATACCACTGAAGTATTGTCTTTGTAAGGAGGGTTCCAGTTACTGGTTTTGATAACTGTCCTTGCAGGACAGTCAAGTGATGATTACAGCAAACTAAAAACTTTCTCAAGTGAGAAGATGACATTTGAAAATTTACTGTTCATAATCTGCCCCTTTGGAAATGGGTGTTAACTACTCTCCAGAATGACAGACCCCTCTCTTGGGATTCTGCCCAAGGCACACTGACCCCTATTACATGCTTACCTGAACTGGTGAGGACGCTGAGGGGACTGCTGGATGTAGTGAGAGCATTGGTACCACTTGGTGTGTTCTGAGCTGCACTAGCTGCAGCAGCTAGCGCAGCCAAATTCTGTAACTGCATTGCATTTAACCCTGCAATATCCAAAGCAAGAGGTCAGCCAGCAGATAAGGGTCCCTCACATCCACTCCAGCAATGACAGTGTACACTGGCAGAAGGCCGGTCCCAAGGAGGAACTATTCTAGATGAGCCTCACAGGCAATAGTACAGGGCTCCAAAAAGACTGAGCCATCAATCAACTTATTAAGAAACTTGCCATCATTTCCTCAGATAAAAGATATCTAATCCAGTAACATGCCAGACCAAGTGAGCATTAATAAAGGGATAGGCAATTAGGAAATCAGGAAATACCACAGAGTCTAACATGGAGCCAGGTGTCTAAGAGAACAACAATACCAAAACCTGTGGCAGAGAACGAATCTGCATTTGGGCCCCTCACCCACACTTCACAGAGGATTTGTTCTCTGCAATGGAGATGAATAAGCAGAAAATGTAGCAGAGATCCAGAAGGCCATGGGAGGAATGACAGGGGAACACATGTGAAAACAGCAACAGGAGAAAGAATAAAGAAAAAACACACTACTTTAGTAGCAGATTAATCATCAGAAGGAGGAGAGAGAAAAAACAGAGGAAAAGACTTTCAAGGAGAACCTAGGCAATGTAGGTAAAAGGAGAGCAAGAAATCTGAACTGTGCCAACAATGTGTGGCAAACCATTTACTGGATTATGGAAAGGCAGATGAGTGCGGGTAGAGAATTAATGAGAACAGGAAGGCTCCAACACAGACTTACAATTTAGCAACTTTCCAAAAACACGGCAAACTCTAAATCCCTGGGACAAAGTGAACAACCATCAAACTTTTTCAAATGGTATAATGTCACACGCCTAAGACTAGCCCTTCCTCAGGTGCACCTGCCACTGCAGAAGAGGCAGGGGCAAGCAGCTCTGGAATGGTCCCCTTCCCTCCACTCCCTCCACTTTTCCAATGGCCTCGCCTCAGATTTGTACCTGGAGCCTCCTTTTGTTATAAGCTCAGGTATTTGTCAATTAAGTTTTTCATGCATGTTAACACCAACAAAAGGCAATTCACCTAAGAAATAACTTGTATAAGACACTAACTGCCTGGGTTCTAGCAGCTTCAGGGTAAGTCATGCTCTCGGAAGCCATAGTAGACTTTTTTCTTCACAGAGTCACTGAAAAAGTTGCTTTATTGTGGAAATGAAGAGTTCTTGCATTTTTCTCTTTATCAAAATGGCTGCAGATAGTCTGCAGGTGCTAACAGCTCCCTTCCATCTTCTTCCTCAAAAAAGATTAAAGGGGTGGGGAGCAGCAGACAATCCCAGAGCAGCCTGGTATCAGCAACTAAAAGAGCCACCTTCTAGAGATGAGGTAGGTGAATCCTAGGATGTTCACCTTATGTCAGCTTAATGTAATGAGTGGGGAAAATTTCTTCCTGCACGAACGGTACAAAACTCTCAGACTGTTGTTAGCTGGCAGCTGCTGCTCCTCCGTTGCAGTGAACACTTACCTCCCATTGGGTGGAGGCTGCTCAGGGTGTTGAGGTTCCCAGAGGAGGCAGTCTGCTGAAGGAGCTGCAAATAAAGCTAGACATTACACCAAAAAACAGAACAAGAGTGAGAGTGAGGGCTGGTTCTGCATCTGGGATAACTCTACAGCACAGCAAAGCGAGAGTGCAGAGGCCCCCAGAGAGAAGAAAGTTGAAGACAAGAGCCCAAGCCAACACAACAAAAACATGAGGCTTACGACAGCGCTGGACAACACAACACAGCTGAAGACCTGGCCAGAAGACAGTTATGTTCGCTGAGTACTGAGCCAGGCTTGCGTCCCTGGCAACAGAATGCAGCACAGCAGAGGACAGAAGTAGAGCAGAGAACTAAGCTCAACTCAAGCAGCCATGCAGTCCACTGCAATGAGTGCCTGTCTGTGGGTGACTGCCATTTCTAGTTCTTCTCCCAGATTCTCCTGCTTAGGCCCACACCTTATTTTGTAGGTTGTTCCTATCTAGACACCAAATTTCTACTTCACACAACTATTTAAAATATCAAACCTGACCATTTCAGGGTATTTCTTGGAGTCACCCTTTACTGGCCACAATGAACTTGTGACTTGATAAGTCCTGTCATGACTAGAATACTACACATCCATCTATCACTGTAATCTCACTGCTGCAGATGACCAAATGACTGGTGGATTAGTCCGTATCTGTTTAGCATACATTCCTTCAATGGTTGTTCCGTAACAAATAAAACAAGGGGACCTGTTCATGAACTTAATGGATCTCTACAACCTTACTCTGTACCTTAGCAAATTGCAACCTTCATCTAACCAACCTGCTAAAGCGTTTTGTTCCACTCACTGTTCCTTATGGACAACTGACATTCTTGTTTCTGGATCCATTATTCAAATTGTTGTCCATTCCCATATAAACATCTGACTTGGTTCCTCGGTCATCATGAATCTCTCTAGTCCATGTGCATTTCAGGAGGTCCAGAAACCTCCAGAAGTAGAATGAAAAAATGCATATAAACACAATTTTTACCAGCTTCTCAAAGGGGTCCACAACCCTACAAAGATTAAGAACTACTGCTCTAGCTTCAAGTCCACATATTCCAGAAAGAACCTCATAATTAATGATGATGTACTATCACTTACATAGTCCATCAGCACTCACAAGTCTTCATTTTTGTCTTCTTAAATACCTTGGGTAATGTGTTCAGTCCCAACTGGTGGACTGTGCATACTGTACTTGGCACTTCATTTCCTCCCAAAATGAGAACAGCTCTTAGGGTGGGGATCATGTCTAAGTGAAACAGACCATAGCTCTCAACATAAACCATCATGTGCTTGCTGGAAACCATCATGTGCTTGTGGCAATGACAACAAAAGGTGGAGTCTTCTCTAAAAGAAGGTTCCAAAACTCTCTAAGAAGAGTAAGTACATATCACGGAGATAATTTTCAAAGCATTATCATTTTGGCAGAAGACTAAAATCTCTCTGAATTTTCTCAACTTATAAACAATGTTCTAAGCACTGAGAAACAATTTAATCTATAGAAATATAACAACCATCTACATTTTTTTTTTGACTTCAGAAAAACACTAGGGAAGATAAACTGGGATTTCTTCTAATATTTTAGAAATAGGGAGACCAAAAGATATCAAATTAGCCAAAACCCAGTATCGCAGGATAGAAATCATTGCCTTTCTTCTGCTTCCATATAAAATACTATTTTAAAGGATGAGGAGTGAATACTATAATGACTCCAATGTGTATATTTTTAGACTATCCATACTAATCTAGTAGTTTCACCATTTATTTTTCTTCACTGGTAGCATCACAGATTACCTGTTCTGATTCACAGAAGAGACAGTTTTAAGTGTCTTGTGCTATCTGCAGTTCTTTTAAGGGTTAAACAGTGATAATCCCCCATAATACACATTGCAGACCTAGTAAATCAAAGTAACAAATTGGAGCGTGACCCTTCCTGGACTTATTACTTCAACTCAACTAGAGAGAAATCAAATTAAAGGAAATCTATTTACTATTTAGTGAACTCAAATATACACCTGTAATACTCATTTAATAATGTCCATGTTCATCTCCTGATCTCTCAGTCAGTGGAACATTTATCATACTCTTCAGGAAGACTCAGTAAGGATTTTAACGATGCCCTCTACATCGGCCAGAAAGAGCTATAGAGGAAGATAACTGGTAGTTAAGATTCCCTTAGGAGTTTTTTTTGGGGGGGGGGGCAGGGACACATGAGATGTCTTTAAAGCTTTTTATTAGGAAATTAAGATTTTACTTTAATTGTAGCATAAGTCTCACGACATAACCAAAGATGTGTGACCAGAAAGAGAGAGAGAGACACTAATGTGACTTAAAGAACATTATGTTGCCTGAATTTTTATAGAAAATTCTGATGTGCTAAGATCTGTGAAAGCCATTGTGTATGTTAGCTAAGGACAGCAGAAGAAACAGCTGGGAGCTTGCACAGTCTGCAGAAAGCAAACCACAAGGACTCACTGCTAAGTACTGGGGTCCAAGAGTGTTTAGACCAGCAAGGTTTCCCCACACAGATGCTGCGCTGATTTGCTGCATCTGCTGCTGGAGCTGCTGGGCCATTCTCTTCTGTTCTTTGTCCTTCTGTGTATCAGCAAATTTTACCACCATGGGGGATGAGCAACCCTATGAAAACACCAAAACCAAAGGGTCAAATTCCTCCTTCTGGGTGAAGGGAAAGTTCTCCTTTCCAGGCTGCATTCTACTTTCATTCACTGCCAAATTACTTCTCTTCCTGATACACACAAGTAGCAAAATATAATTTAAAAGGGTAACTAGTTCCAATACGCTGATTTTAACGGAAGCACCTGTTTTTAACTTTAAGATGTTTATTCAGTCTGCTTAACTTTTAGGGCAATCAGATGCTGTATATACTGCTGGGCTTTGATGGCCAACTGTCCTAGCACTCTCAGGCTAAGGAACGTCCCACTTTCATTCATCTGTCCCCTACCTCCATGGTCTGTGCTTGGTGCATTGCCTTGATGGCCGTCTGTGCCATGGCTCTTGTTGTAAAAGTCACAAATGCACAACCTGTTTGAAAAAAGAGTCGATAACTCATCCATTCATTTGGTTATTTATTTACTGGACTGACATTTACTGAGTACCTACTATGTGCCAGGTACCATGCTAGCAATACAGACATGGTTGCTGCCTTCAGGGGTTCATGATCTAGAGAAGACAGATATGTTACAACAGGGTGATAGGTGCTTCAATGAAAAACCAGGGAAGCACAGACAGGAGAGAAAGTGCTTGAGGGATAAAGGAGGAATCATATTCTCTAGCTTCTCTTGCAAAGGAGTGTTTCCATTTTGGCATGAAGAACCTCTCCAAGGACAAAAACAGAGAACCTTAATACAAGGCACTTAAGTACAGAATGTAGACTCCTTAGGGGAACTGGGAGAATACTAAAGGGATCAACTGACAGGAGAAGTCGTGACGAGACCTAAACATATAACACCAAACCCAATCCTCTCCATCACGACAAGACCGTGTTAGCTATAGATCACTAGTTTCCACTGGTCCCATTAAAAAAAAAAAAGATTACAAGTTTAAGACCAGTATCTTTAAATGCAAAAAATGTACCCACCACGGCTCAGGCCATCAGGTCCCCTCAATATCCGGCATTCTTCAATCTGTCCAAATGAAGAGAACATGACTCGGATGTCGTTTTCAGTGCACTTCTTGGAAATCATACCAATAAACAGCTTCCTGTCTTCCACTGCTAAGAGAGTAAGACACAGAAGGCTTGACATCATTACCACAGAGCTAGTACAGCAGTCTCTAGAGTCAGAGCTCCTCAGTCTGAATGCCTGGCTCTGTGCCTTTATACCGTATTTCACAGATTTTAAGATACACTTCCCCCTCACCACAATTCAGCACATCCTTTTATAATCAATGCTATCTTAAAATTATATTTGGAAGCTCTTAAATGAAATATAGTGGCTTTGTGATCTTGTAAAAGTTACTTAACCATTCTGTGCCTGTTTCCTCATGTGATTAATAGGATAACAGAGCTTACCTCAAAGGTACCTATAGCTAATACTCAGCACCTGTCTTTGCCTAGCGCTAAGCAAAGTTTGCTATTATTAGCAATACCAACGTACCAAAGAAGGACGAGTTTCCACACTTAACTGATAAAACAAGAGAAACAGAACACACATTTCAGTGAGGGTAATATCCACTTTCATTTTCTGATTATTCATTCTCTTAAGGACTAAGTTTTCCTTCCCAATTTGTTCATTTCCCACCCACCCCAACTCCTTTCCATAAGAAATTATACTAATCAAAAAAACATTCCAGTTAACTCTAAAATGTTCTTGTAATGCTTCCTGGTCAACTCTATTTATCTCATTTATGTACCATACTTATTTTAAAGAAAAGAACAGGCAACTCAGATGACATTACTTAGAGCACTGGACCACTATCTTACAACATACACAAAAATTAACTCAAAATGGGTTACTTGTGAGTAAGTAATGAATTAACTGGTAATGAATTAACTGAATGTAAGACCTGAAAGCATAAAACTCCCAGAAGAGTTAGACTTGGTAAGCTCCTTGACATGGGTCTTGGTGATGACTTTTTAGATTTGACACCAAAAGCAAAGGCAACAAAAGCACAAATAAACAAGTGGGGTTAAATCAACATAGAAAGTTTCTGCACAGCAAGACAAAACAAAAAACCATCAACAAAAAAAGGTAACTTAATGAACAAGAGAAAGTACTTGCAAATCATGTATCTGATAAGTTAATATCTAAAATATATAAAGAACTTATACAACTCATCAGCAAAAGAAAAACAACTCAATTAAAAAGTGGGCAACAGACTCAAACAGACATTTTTCCAAAGTAGACATACGATGACCAATGGGGACATTAAAAAAAAAAAAAAAGCTCAATATCACTAATAATCAGGAAAATGCAAACCAAAACTGCAATGAGATATCATCTCACCTGTTAGAATGGCTACTATCAAAAAGACAAGAAAGAATAAGTGTTCATGAGCATGTGGAGAAAAGGGAACCCCTGTACACTGTTGGTGGGACTGTATGGTGCAGCCACTGTGCAAACCACTATGGAAGTTCCTCAAAAAAATTAAAAACAGAACTAGCGTATGATCCAGCAATTCCATTCCTGGGTATTTAACTGAAGAACACGAAAACACTTATTTGAAAAGATATATACAACCCCCATGTTTACTGAGGCATTACTGACAATAGCCAAGAAATAGAAGCAATCTGAGTATCCATCAACAGATGAATGGATAAAGAAAATGTAGTATTTTACACACACACACACACACAGAGGAATCTTCTTTCAGAATAAAATCTGAAATCACATCCATCCATACGCGACAACATGGATGGACCTTGAAGGCATTATGCTAAGTTAAATAACTCAGAGAAAGATAAATACTATATGCTCTCACTTATATATATAAAATCTTTAAAAATAAAAAACAAACAACTGAGGTCATAGATACAAAGAACAGATTGCTTTTTGCCAGAGGAGAGGGAAAGGAGGTGGGCAAAAAGGGCTTGAAGGAGGTCAAAAGGTGTAAGCTTCCAGTTTTAAAATAACTAAGTCGTGATCATGTAAAGTATAGTACAGAGACAACAGTTAACATTGTATTGCATGTTTGAAAGTTGTTAAAAAAGTAGATCTTAGAAGTTCTCATCACAAGAAAAAAAAATTTTTGCAACTATGTATGGTGATGGATGTTAATCAGACTTATTGTAGGGTCATTTCACAATATATACAATTATGGAATCATTATGTTACACTTGAAACTAACATAATATTATGTGTAAATTATACCTCAATTTAAAAAATATTAGAGCACAGTACAACACAGATGCCATGAGAACAGCAAACACATCAGGAAGAGACGTGACAAGGGGAGGGCTTTATAAATTTGCTTACCATTATTCTTCTCACTGTCGGCAGGTTTCATCTGTATAGGATGATGCATCTAAAAAGGAAAACACATGAATATTATCACTGCACACTGAAGACATTCAGAAATATACATGAGGACTCTAAAGGAAATATCAAAACTAGACCCTTAAGAGTTATTGCTGAACTCATGTCTGCCTCATTATCTCTTCCCACCAAAATATCAAAATAGAATGTGAGTCAAGAAGTCAAAGTTCTTTTGGCTGAGAATTACTTTCAACCTATCTTCTTTGAAACAAACCCTTTATGTCTTCCTTTACATCAATTCCTGGGGCAGTCACCCTTTCCCCAAAATTGCTTTCAGTGTGTGCCTGAAAAGTGTAAGTATGTTCTATGTGTCAAAACCACTAGTTCCACTTACTAGCAGGAGCTTTCTTACCCCTGGGAGGACCTTCATGTTGTGAAGAGCATTCTGAGCCTCTAATGCAGCTTTTCGGGTGTAAAATGTAACAAAACAGCACCCTGCAATAAACAACATTTCATCAAGTCAAACCAGTCCTTTGAAAGCAGGTAACTCCCAGAGCATTTCCTCCTCCATGGATATACTGAGCCTTAAGAGAGGGCTGGATTTACTAAAATTAGAGGGGGGTGAAGGGAGGGAGATGGAGAAAATCTAGAGGGGTGGAGGGGGAAACAGATTATTTTCTTTTGTCTTCTTTATTGTTATAGTCTCCTAGTTTTGTTAAAATTCTTTACCTGCTCCTGTAACTTCTCTGGGAAAGATTATTTTTCTTACAAAGGTCACAGCACCATGCCATTCAACCCAGCAGACTTGGAGCACCAAGTAATATGCTGGGCAAGAAGTCAGCTACAAACCAGACGGAGGCCTCGCACTCTTGCAGCTTGTAGTCTACAAGGAAATCTATCTTTCTCTTACAAATCTTAAATTGTAGCCAATTTCTACCATATGCCTCAAACATAATCATTATTTATTAAATTCTAAAATGACTTAAGAGCAAGAGCCTCTTAATATCTTTTTTTGGACTCTTGGTTCCCATCAAATATAATTACACTTCTAACAGCATATGGCACTTGACTGAGGAGATCTGGAGATTTTGTGCTCTGTATCTTTACTGGTGATAGGAAGGGGAAAGTATGTCTTGTAAATCTTGGGCCCACAGTCCCGTAAGATATGATACAGACTTCTTTCAAAATCATTCTGCAATTAAGATTTTTGAATTACTGCATATTATATTGCCAGTCATTTTCAGAAACGATAATACTTTATATTTTTGGTTAACTATGCCACAAAGAGAAAATAATTCCTCAGCTTCTAGATCCTCTGCTATTAAGCTGGTTTCAAACGTGGCAATCACGCTTGCTCACATCTACACTTGCAGAACAGCTTTCACAGAAAATTACTCTGAAATGGGTCATTTGGGAAAATAAAGAGTATGCCTGTATATACATGGGCAAAGCTCATGTCTTGTCTACTATCAGTCTTACAAAACTTCCACCCTTCTGGGTATTTCTGGAAGCAGCTCGTCTTTTTTCTCCTGTTCATTTTGTAGGTTACTATGAACAGGTCACCTACAAACCAGTCCCTCCTAGTTGCTCAGCCATCCCACAGGGCCTCTGTAACACTAACAAACCCATGGGTACCTGGACAATTTTTCTCTTTCCACTTACCCTAGCCAAAATACTAAAGAAAATCTTATGTGATTGGTTTACTTCAACTTTATTTTTGTCATTCCATTCACAAGATCAAATGAGACACTCACCCGAATCTGTCTCTTGAATTTAGAGCTTTTGAAAAGGACTGCCCAAGAGCCAATTTACAAATTATCCTCATGATGTCATCTTAATTTTTCATTTGTAAGTCATTAAACAGGTTTGGGCTGGGAGACAGAGCTACTATAAAAAGGCAGATTTCCCCCCATGTGACCCCAAGAACATTCTGCCAATGAGAGAGAGCATGCACATGACTGAATATATATATATAAAAGCCAAAGTCTTTACCTTTGCTCTGAGGAGGGTTTTGGCTCCTATCCCTTAGGACATTGATTTCATAGACAGCACCATACTGTTCAAAGAGTTCCCTCAAGTCCTTCTCAGACCAGGTCCTTGGAACCTGGCCCACAAACATCTTGATAGCATCAAGATCTGGTTGGTCTGGATGGTCCAGGGTGCCGTTCATTTTCTTTGAGCTGCGTGAAATAAAATAAAACTTCTATTATGCATTCATGTTGCTCTCCAGAGAGAGTCCTTTTTTTCTTTAAAGGTCTCAACTGTTTCCTGAAAAGGTAGGGAAAAAATTCTACTTACTTTCACTACTTCCATTCAATTTACCAGAGTCCCCGGTCCTCCCTCACCATGTCATCCCTTCCATCAGATCCCAAACTAAAGTTACCATTCTGATTAGGATATCCTAGGCTTTAACTAAGGAACTGAGTGTCAGTCATTCCTTGTCTAGCTTGAGAATTCTCATAAAAACTTAAGAGGTAAAGTTACTAAAGCAAGTTTTAATCATTTTTAAGCAGAGTTAACAAAACTTTTTAAAATATCCATAAAACTACAAACGACTATTTCTTATAGACAAGATTTAGGATTCCCAATCTACACAATGATGGGTGAGAACTTTTCTTTAAATAGATGTTAGAACAGAAGTACTTGATTTCCACGGCCTAAGCAAAGAACTGAACTGACTAGAATGCTGGCCTTTCAATGTTGCTGTCTCATGCATAAGCCTCGTGCTCTTGAGTGAGGCCCTCAAATCAAAACAAAGCTTTCCCTCTTAAACTTTCACAAATGACTGCTATATAAACATAAACAATGATGCCATCATTCGAGGGTTTTTTGTTTCTAAGTTATCTAATTTACTGCTATTTCTCCAAGATTTTACTAGTTAATTCCCTTACCAACTGCAACCATTAGAATGTTCATAAATTCCTCCAATCCCATCACACTGAACCTGTAACATTCCTACTTTAATAACTTCATTCCTACCCCTGCCACTGCCAAGAACCTAGGGGGACTCCTGCACTATAAATGTTTCCACTCAGAATAAATCAAAGTCCTTCTCCTACCACCATTCCAAGATCTTATTCTTAACATTTATCTAAACCAGTAACAGCTTAAACTTCAAGTAGTTAGTATGCTTAACTTTTGTTAGTGTTTGCTTAATCCAGAAATCACATCATCATGTTCAAATGTGTCATATTCTAATAGTTAATCCTAAATAAAATGCCACTTTTCTTTAAAGGAAAAACAATAGTTTTTTTCACCACTGCTGTCTTCTGAATAGTATCTGAAGATCCCTGAGAATGCTGAATCTAGTAGTTCAACCTCTGTCTCTTAATTCCTAAATCTCCTGTAGCTGAATACAGGGGGTATTCTCATGTCACCTTTGTGGAATCTAGCACTAACTAAAAAGCAAACAGACCAACCCTTGTTGCTGTGTCTAGAAGGTTTCCTATACTCTTCAGGGTAATTAGTCAGTTTCATCAGGACTCAAGCAGTACTAAATTTCCACCTGTATTATAGTATTTATCACCTGCTAGTATAATCTGTCTCTATCTACCTCTCCCAACTAGACTGGAAGCTCTTTAAAGGCAGAAACTGTTTTATTTCCTATTAATTCTTACAGCCACACCTGATATGGTGCCTGGTTCAAAGTAATTAGTCAGATGTGGGATGGGAACTTCTTCTCAACAATTCCCCCTATTTAAGCAACTAACCTTGATAAATGAATGCTGTGCACAAAGGCGGCTCACAAATTAAAGAGCATCTATTATCTCCTATGATTATTTGACTGTCACAGGATCAAGCTACATTTTCTTCTCCCTTTTTAAGTGTTTTTTAATACATTGTTTTATTGGTTTTCCTTTATTAGTTTATAACCAAGTGTGGCAAGTTGTTGTAAAAATTTAATGTAGCTGCTTCTAGAAGCCTAATTCCAATGTTCTAACAGAAATCATGCTACCATGAATTTTTAAAAAATCCTGTGACTAGTGGGAAAAAAAATCTGTGTCACTTCCTACAACCTGTCCCTAATAACTTTACCAGTTTTAATATCATTTTATTAAAATGTTGCTAATCTTCAATCATATTTCTATTCCAGGAAGAGTTAACATAGAACCCAAATAAATGGTGTATCAGAATATGTTCTGATGATAAGGAAACTGACAGCTATTTTTGAAAAGAGGTATGCTGTTATTAGTTTGTATTACATTGGAGGCAACTGCTCTCAGTTTGTCCCTTCCTTCTCTATCTGTGTGCTGTTTCTAAACTTTCTATATCACTGTATAGTGCAAAAGCATAAACAGTCAACTTATGTGAATTGTGATTTATCCAAAAAGTTCAGTGGAGACTCAGCATTCTAGACAAGCATCTTTACTTTCCCTTTTTACTCTCCAAACCTCTCTCCATTTCTTCACATCCACTTACTCCATGAACCACACTTCCCCCAGTGTATACCAATTCACAAGCCAGAAGAATCTCCCCCTTTGATTAGCAGTGCTAATCAAAATGCCCAAGGACCAGGGGCAATCTTCAAATTTAACCCATCAGAAACTTCAACAGCAGTCAGACTGCATAATTTTATGTATGTTCAATCTAATACTAAAAGGATATGCAAAATGCAAACTTATACCTCATTATTTTGCTTTTCTATGAAATTATTTTATTGTATTTTACAAGTTGGGTGGTGGGACTTGGTCCTTCACTAGTTTGAGAAGCATTTTTAGAGCAATTTATAGCAAATATCAGGGCAGGCTCAAGATACAGTGGACATCATGTAACTGGAGTCTGGAGTTATGCACTGACTTACTTCTTCCTCCAATTAATACTGGCTTCTTACTTACAGGCCAGGCACAATGGGTACTATGTGAAATGTGGTATACAATGAATAAGGAAAACATGGGGTATTTCTTTGGAGCACATGAAGACCGAGTTAGAAATAAAAGTGCCAATATCAACTAGAGATAAAAAAAAGAGAAGCAACCTCATGTGTACCTAGGTAGATGTAGTAAGTGGTCACAAACTTTCTCATTAACTGTTACTGTGTCTGAAGAGATGAGCAACAATGCTCTTCCATCCTCAACCTTCTGCTACTTCCAGTATGCATGCTGTCCTTAAAAGTAACCACTATGTTAACAAGTCACCTGGGGACAAGACTCCCAGTATGATATGCCGAAGGATTTCACAATATCCAGGTATGGCATTTACTCTACAGATCACTAAGTACATTCTCAAATTTGTTCCTTACCTCCCCACTGATGGAGAGCTCCCCATAGTCAGTGATCATAAATTATATTTATTTATTATGCCCACTCAAGAACCAATGAATTCAGCAGCTCCCTGGAGAAGTAGCTGTACTATCCCTGTCATTCTGAAGAGGAAAGTCTGTGGAAGTACTGCCAGTACTTCCAGAAGTACTGACCTGGGAGTAGGATGGAAGAGAGGAAAAGCAGGGCCTGCAGCAGTGAGGAAAGAGATAGGACAAGAAGGCAGCAAGTATTTCAGGGGACAGGCATGGCACCAACTCACTTCTTTTTATGTTTCTGACCCTGGCAGCAACTGGAAAATCATTAAGAATGAGAAACTACTAAGAGATGAGGACCAGAGGCTGCCCTGACTACCTGATTCTCAATGGGACATGCCATAGGAAAATGAAACAACCAATGTGGAAGAGATAGGGGAGCGAAAACAAAAGAGTTTTATTTTCAAAGCACTCAACTTTACAAAACTCTCAAATCCTCTCTCCTCTTTCTCCTTTCTTTCTGTCAACATTCCCAGCTCCAGGCCAAGCTCAGAGGGCAGAGTTAATGTTCTATCCCACTTCTTTCCCATCCCCAGGCCCCAGATGACTAGAATCGGGAGTGGAACTTAACCCAGCAACTTGATTCACTGGCTAGCCAGGAACCTAAGACTGTGACTTATACTTAAAACAGAAATATAGGCCTGGCCAATCAAGAATTCTCTGCAGCTGCACTGAACAAGACAACAGTCACTAGTCACATGTGACTATTTACACTTAATTTTTAAAATCCAGTTTCTCAGTTGCACTAGCCACATGTGACTAACGTCTACTGTACAGGACAGCAGAGATGGAAGAACACTTTTAACATCACAGAAAGTTCTATTGCAAAGGACTGTTCTACAGAATATGGAACTGGTTAATAGAAACGGGCAGTCAGTGGTGAAGTCAGAAGTGGAAAAGCTGCAACTAGGGACAGCATGAGTTAAGGTGACAAGATGAAAGGGCAGTGGCAAGAGATAATAGGAGTCATGCTACAATACAGATGAAGCTTGAAAGTACTGTAAGCTAAGTGAAAGAAGCTCATCACAAAAGGCTACATATTGTGTGATTGTATTCATATGAAATGAATATACAAACCTACAGAGACAGAAAATGGCTGCCTAGAGTGGGGACTGCAGGGTCAGGGGAAAGGGAGGAAATGACTCCTAATTAATGAATACGTGGTTTCTTCTAGGAGTGAGGAATGTTCTGGAATTAGATAGTCACAGAACTTCGTGGATATAGTAAAAAAAAAATCACTGAACTGTGCACTTTAAAAGGGCAAATTTTTGTGTTATGTGAATTATATCAATTTGATAGAGCGAGTGAGCGAGAGAAATCAAGACAGCCTGGGAGGGCAGTGGCAAAACCAAGCCACGCTGCAACCAAAGTTACACGGTAAATGAAGAGCAGAAGCAGCAAGCAGCACATGCAGAGAGAGAGCAGAATGCATGTCCCGGGGTCAGAAAGATGGCGTTTCTGGGTCTGCTAGCTGTGGAATTCCTGCTTATATTATAGCCCAGCCCACTTGTCTCCTTACAAGAAAACCCTTTCATGTATTCTTGAGTGGGTATTTGTTCCTTGCAGCCCGACAGGCCTACAAATATTACCTTCACATCTGTTTAAAAATCATTTCCAAAACCTCTCACTCCTTTTTTTTTTCCACTCTCTTCTCATTACCTGTTGACCTCCATCTGTTTGTTATACACAGAGAAAAATTTTAAATACTTACCAATCCCTCCACCTCCCCAGCAGGCATAAATACTTGTTGCATCCCAATCTCCAGCCACCACCCAACCCTACCAGGTCCTCTGGCTCATAATGTGCTGTGAAAAAACTGGCACAGAAGAACATCAGAATGAACTGGGCTCAGAAACACTGGTCTGAATTACCTACCAGCCACTGGCCAGTGAGAACAAGCCTAA